GCCACATCAGGTGGGAGGCCAGGGAGCACGGCGGGCAACTCAGCTGCGCAGTTGCTGAGCTAAATGAAAGTTTTAGGTCCACCCATCAAAATTACCTTATAATCTTTAATATCTCCTTTTTGGATCAGCACAGCTGGAGGCAGCTGGATTTCAGAAAGTGAAGGGAGCCCTCTTGCACTAGCTGACCTTGTGAGGTGGGGCCATTCTTCGTTGCTTTTAAAGGGAAAGCCTCTGTGCTGGGAAACGCTCAGTTGTTACTCACTTTTCGGCATTGTTCCCTTGGACAAGACACACCTTTTGGCTTGTCCGCTCAGGGTTACTGGGTACTTCCAAAAATATGAGTCTGAGAAACCAAGTTCTTTAAGGGATGCTTTACAATTTACATATGACCATGCATTTTCATTAGCTCTTCTTTCTAGATGTAACTTCTTACTGGTGCTAGATTTAAGAGTGACCCAGTCGGCCTTCTTCACCAGGATGAAACCTGCCTTCTCTGACCTCAGCTGGAGCTAAGCCATTGCTTTTAGGAGGGGCCGGATTTCTCTCTGAAGCCTTTGCTTTAGCAGCTGAAGTGGGATAAAGTCTATAAAGCCACTTTTCCCCACAGCATTTGTTATTTCAAGGGGTGAGAATCAAGCTACCTATCAGCATTGCCCCAGGCTAGTGCAGCTCTGCTGATGGATTCCCCTGTGCCCTCCCAGACCTCTCTTTCCTGCATGGCTCTGCCCGTCCCCCAGCTCCAAGAAAATCATTAATCTCACATTGTTTCCCTGTCCTTTGCGAGGCTGCCTTCAGTGAGGAAAAACCAGCAAGAAACAGCGCAGAAGTTTTCCACCTCCCTAGCGACTGACCCTCTCTATCCAGGGCTTGCAAATGAGTTTTTATGGGTTTATAGCTCTCTATATGCAGCAGGTTTCAAAGGTTCTGGCTCGTTTTGGGTGGCCGGGGCAGTGTGAGCTGGCGTGCCCCATCTGTTATTAGTTGTAACAAGCCGCGTGCTGCCGCAACACGGCTCCCGCTTGTCACAGACCTCATACCTGTGACCGAGCCAGAAAGCGCTGGGTGCAGACCACCCCTGGGGGTTGTTTCGGGACAGAAAGGCCTTCCCTCCTCTGGTCCAGACCGGTTCTGACCTTAAAAGAAAAAGCTTGCTGTTTCCCCGTGCGACAAAGGACAGTCAGCCAGGGCGCTTCGCCCGGTCGCGGTGCCGTGCGGCTCTGCCAAACCCAGGGCCCCACGGTTGTCGTGGGACAGGACACCCGGCCAGCCGAGGGGAGAGCTCGCCCCTTTCCCAGGAAAGAAGGACTGCCAGAAAGGATCACGGTGGCCAAGAGGTAAACCTGAGTCACACCAGGGGTTTAACCCTGCCCCAAACCTGGTGCGTTGTCACGCATTTTAATGCAGCGTGGTACCGCTGGAAAACAGCGACTGGGGAAAGCGTGAGTGGTTTCCCGATTAACTGCTCTTCTGCCAGCAAAAAACTGAGGGTGGGAGTGGGTGTTGACAGAGACAGGGCTAGCAGCAGGTGCCTTTGGGCAAGTCTTCTGTACCCGTGGGAGTGAATGAGGGGTGAAAGCTCTGCCTTCCTCGAAGCGGGACTGGGAAGGGTTTCCTGGCTGGAAAGAGGTTTCTCTTTTCATTTTTCTCTCATTCCAAATCAAGATGACATTGAGCCTTTGGGGTTTTTCACTGCCTGTTTACCAAGGAAAAGTAGAACCCTGAGTTTGAATTGTCTGAAGCAGTTTAACTAAGATATTTCCAGATATTACATGTGAGTTTCATTGTGTTTGGGGTTTTTATTGTTATTATTTATTTTTATTCTAAGGTTTTAACACTTTTCATGGAAGTTAACTGCAGGTTTGGAAATGCAAACTGCTTTAAATTATACCCTTTTCACACTTTTCGGTCTGAAGAAGATGGGACATTTTGATGATCTTTTAAACTTTTTAAAAATCTCCTGGATTTTTAAAGTCAGAGCTAGGAAATATTTTTATTTTTTGTGCATGAGCAGTGGGGATCTTTTGCAGCTTTTGTGTCTTCTTCTTGTGAAAAATATGGTTTGCTAAAAAACGTCCAACCAACTTTAAAGATTATATCCTTACTTAACCCACTGGAGCTGGCACATGTTATGTTCTCTTTTAACAAGCTACTAGTTATCATACGTGATATTTACAACATCTTAAATCATTTAGTGAATAGGTACAGAGAGTAAGTCAAGGAAAGCTCACAGGACAATTGGGCAAATAGAGACTTGTAAAGGCAGTGCTTCTGTTAAGCAAACCTTTAATATATTGCAAAGATAAATCTTTCATGTGTTATAGAGAAAATTATTAGAAACCACATGAAAAACAGTGTTGCAAGACAAGGTTCAAGAAGAGAGAGGGTTAAGGAAAATCAACTCCCCATCCCTGACAAGTAGAATTGAGGTTATAAAGGGATTTTGGTTTACTATTTTTAAAATGTAGGCTTGCTACAAAATTAAATGCATGCAAAATGTGTATCTGCTTGCATGTTCTTCTCTCAGAAAGAATAATTACTGTGTTTGTGCATGCCAATCAGTTAATTTTGTGCAAGAAAAACTAAAGGCAATTTGTAAGTTCAGGTTACTCAAAGTAAATATTAAGAAGCATATAGACAAAAGGAACTTTTGTGAAATGCATGGTATTTCATGTATCTCATCTTGAAGACAGCCTTTTGTGGGGAGAAAGTGCTTTTTAAATCTTAAAAGTTTGTTTTAATTTAAATAAAAATAGTCTCCTCTTTTTTCTATCTCCGTATAATATGCTCTGGATGTGTTTGAAATGTTGTGTTCACACTACCAATGAAAGTGATAAAAACCAGCCAGACCTCTTTCACCTGCCTAATTGCAAGGTGAAGTTAAGGATTTTTCTTCTGTGTGTTGTGGAAGACAAAGAGAAATCGAGTCCTGCACAAGATCAGCATCCAAAACCCAAATACAAGACCTGAGTGCAATGGTCTGAAGTGCCTTTGGTCCAGCAGAAGACAGGGCAGGGTATTCACTCATCATCTGTCCTAGGGAAACACTGGCTTCCCTCTTCCCTGTGTCTCACAAATAGCAACTATCACAGCCCTGGTGGGATGAAGCGGGTTCAAGGAGGCTTTTAGGAGGCAAAGAAACCCTTATGAAGGGCATGATGGGCAGCACTGGATTAGCTTCCAGCCCTCTGACTCAGTGATCCTAATGTTCCTGCAGTGCTTGCCACCTCCTGGCACCTCCCTGTGTGAGGAGGAAGACTGTGCCGCTCCCACCAAGGCCCCCACGGACACCCAGGTCGGAGCAGGGCGGGTGAAATGGCCTCGGTCTTCCGGAGCGAGGAGATGAGCCTGATGCAGCTCTTCCTGCAAGTGGAGGCTGCCTACTGCTGTGTAGCTGAGCTCGGAGAGCTGGGTCTGGTCCAGTTCAGAGACGTGAGTAGTGCCCGGATGACGCGCTGAGCTGTGGGAGGTGCACCTACAGGGTGGTCAAAAAGCCCATGGCAAGAGCGAGGCTTCCCCAGCGCTGATCTGAAAGCCAATCACCGTGCTGAGACATGACCCACTCCCAAGTCCCCATGCAGTGCTCTGCACACTCTCTGCACAATCTTAGGACAATTCCTTCCACCACCAGAAAACAGGGGGGTCTCTATGAGGGTCCATCTCTGACTCTTGCTGCCACAGCAAGGCTGGGTGTAAACGAGCCCAGCGTAAGGCCATGATATCCTTGGCTGTAAGGAAATGCACGGTACTGCCCTGCCACTGGGAGTCTGTAAAATGCAGCTGTGTTGGCAGTCTGCACCAAAGGTGTTCATTCTCTGCTGATGTTAAAAATGAGCATGGCAGTGTGCAGCCTCCAGCCCCAGGCTTGTTTTCCCCTCCTCTCTTCAGCTGAATGTGACTGTCAACAGCTTCCAGAGAAAGTTTGTGAATGAAGTGAGAAGGTGCGAATCCTTGGAGAGGATCCTGCGTAAGTAAAGACTTGTCAAATGCAGTCGGCTTTCTGCCAACTGGTGGTGTGGGATTTATTTCTTTGTTAAGTGCTCTCACACCATGGAGCAGAATTAGTGACAAAATGGTGATGTTTTCATCCAAGCCTCTGGAAATGTTTTGCATGCGTCAGCTAATTACCACTTCACCCCATATGGGTAATAAATTGTTGCCCTGGTTTTGAAAATGGTTAAATGAACTGAGAGGACATTAATTAGCTCATGTAAAATCACGGGATAGATCCGGGGCTGGGCAGGGGGATAATCCAGATAACCCAGCTCTTACACCATTGCAGCAGCCATTGACACACACATCCTGTGGCCAAGGGCTTCAGCCTGGAGACAAATTCTTAAAACCTAAGCAGCAGAGCTTGTGCTGTCCCATGGACATGTGTCCTGTCACAGCTCTGCATGATGCTTCGGTCCTGACGTGGGGCTTGGCAGCAGTTGGTGAGTGGGATGTTGCAACAGGGATGACTCTGCATTGAGACTTCTGTGTCCTTTCCCTGTAGGTTTTCTGGAAAATGAGATGGAAGACAGTGCTGAGATAGTCAAATTAGAGAAGTACCCAGAGACCCCCCTGCCTCGGGAAATGATTGATATGGAGGTATGGAATTCAGGGTGGGACAAGGAGAGAGAGAAGGAGTTGTGCACCAGGATGTCTGTGTAATGTGCTGATACAGACCCCCC